ATCCCTGGAAGTATTTAAAAGACGGGTAGATGAGGCGCTTAGGGACATGGTTTAGTGGGCATGGTGGTGTTGGGTTGACGGTTGGACTCGATGATCTTGGAGGTCTCTTCCAACCTTAATGATTCTGTGATTCTATGATTCTATAGCAGTGCAGAAAGGAATGTCACAGAGTAGACCCATAGATGGCAAAGGAAAAGAAAGTAGTTGAATAGGCAAGATCTCGCTGAAAGAGTGACTAGGAAGGAGAAGACAGAAAGTTGGATATGCAAATGCAGCAAGATTATGCAGCAAAGGTGATTCTATGATTCTATAGCAGTGCAGAAAGGAATGTCACAGAGTAGACCCATAGATGGCAAAGGAAAAGAAAGTAGTTGAATAGGCAAGATCTCGCTGAAAGAGTGACTAGGAAGGAGAAGACAGAAAGTTGGATATGCAAATGCAGCAAGATTATGCAGCAAAGTGGAGGACCTTGAGCTACTGACAGAGGATATGAGCAAGTGCATTGGGACAGTAGATCTGTCCTGCAGTCGCAGTCATGAATACTCTAAAACCCGTGGCTGCTTTTCAGGAAAAGGCAGGGAGCAGCAGTATGTGTTAATGACAGCATAACTCACAGTTTGGTAAAAGATTATCACTGCCAGCATGCCATGTGCCACCGGGATCCTTTTTCACTGTCAAGAGAGTTCTGTAATGTTATTAGAGAAATAATTACTACTGCAATAGTTGTTTTGGATAATTTAACATCAGGAATCAGGTTGGAGAGCAATTGATACTATTATTGGTAAGTCTGAGATATTCTCACATTTCTAGGCAATAAAAATATCCTCCAGAGATTCATTAACATGACAGGAAATGGTGCTATTTTAGACTTGGCATTGGTAAGTCATGAGGACATTATAGGAGATCTGATCATAGGAAATAGATTTGGTGTCAGGGATAACAAGTTCAATTCACGCAAATTAAATGAAAAGGTAATTTGAGGTAGATCTGTAACAAACCTCAGTTTTATAAACTAAGTGCTTAAGCAAAGCCGGTAGATTAAGAAACCCAGGAATTCAAAACGCATCAGGTAGTGTTGAAGGAGAAAGTATCAGAAGAAAGGACATTGCTAATGGAGTTCTCCAACACTCATTTCATTCATATGTTCATTAATGACTTTGACACAAAAAGCAGGAGTCGGCAAAGAAAATTTAATCATAGCATATTTGGGAGACATCAGTACAACAAAGACTCAGAAATACCATAGAGAAAAAAACATTAAAACTCTGATAGTAGAAGTGAGAAAAATATGACAGGAGAAACTCAATCTGCTGTAAAATGGAATTTACCAACTGGAGGTGACTAAGGAAGAGGAAGCCTTAATTAATAATTAAATAAATAATAACTAATTATTGAAATGGACTAATACATGAAAGTACGCCATAGTCACACTTCTGCAGAGCTTACCAGCTTTTTTCCAAGGATCAGATACAACAGAAAGATCAGTCTTTCTGCCAGAACTTCTGCTTTTCCTATAGGAAAATGGGGAAGTAGGGAAATTTTATTTAATTTAGCCTCCGCTGAATGCTACTATCCATCAGTAAAGAGGCACAGGGAGGTATTGGAAGAGTCTGAACAGATTTTGCGGTAGATAAAGGGGTACCATTGCCAGGACCTCCTTTCCAGCTAGCGCTCCTGCCCAGTGAATACTCTGTGCTGACCACAATATGCTTATGAAGGTAATAGTGGGTGAAACCTACCTGCTTAAGAGGAATTGTCTTGCAAGGCTGACAAGCATCTTCGTGCCTTGTCTCCAGAGAGAAGTCTGCTCAAACACCCCTCTCTCTGCCTGTGGAAACAGCGTGCCTCTTTAATTAGGTGAACACATATCTAGTGGCATTTGGATTGACTCTCTACTCTTAGCCATACCCAGATGAGCTCTAGGTACCTGGGGCAAAATGAGACTAATGGTATTGTCTGTAGCCAGTGTAACATGCCTTTAATCCACATCAGCTCCTGCTGCTGTTATTCTTAAAATCTGCCCAGCCTTTCCAATTTTCAAGCAGTTTAATGGCTTGCATCTCCCAGCTCTGGCCCCTGTTCCTCCAGCTAGGTTTTTTTGTCTCTTCTGCATTAAACTTGTCAGGATTTGGATTGTTTTTTTAATCTCTCTAAGTCTAGACAACGTTAAGGTAGTACATAAATGTTCAATAGCTTAACTGGCAGAGCCGTTGTTGGGCATGGTAGCGACTAGGGTTTTAATCCTATTGCAGGTTTTCCATATGGATAGTGGCATTTTTCACTGTTAAATCAGAATCAATTGTTCAAATGTCAAATGTTCTGATGGAAGGTTGATAAATGTCATTTTTCACTCTGTGAAGATTCATATC